GCCTTTCCTCTCCCATCACTGAGCATGACTCCTCGTGCTGTGTGACAGGGTTGCATGCGGAGGTGCTGGTGGTGAATCTTATTCATTTTTGAGTTGGAGTTTCATTCACTCACCCTGTAGGAAAGCAGTGTCCACTCCCGTCCAATACCGCCTTGTGGGAGGCGGATGCGGGGGTAATTCTTGATCCTTCGTGTTCGTGACCCGCCTGGGCAACTTGGCAAGACCGCATCTCTACAATAAAAAAAAAAAAAAAAAATTAGCCGGGCATGATAGCGCGCGTCCGTAGTTCCAGCTACTTGGAAGGCTGAGGTGGAAGGATCACTGGAGCCCAGCAGGTTGAGGCTGCGGTGGCTGGGAGCAGCCACTGCACTCCAGTCTAGGCGACAGAGTGAGACTCCAACTCAAAAACAAAAAAAGATATATTTTCTTATGAGATTTGCTCATTGTTTTCTAATGGGCTGTTCATCTTTTACTTCTTGGTTTGAATGTTTTGTTTTTAATATATGAGAGTATAAAAAACCCTTTTTTTCAGTAATTTGCTACAAATATCATCTTCTTCCAGACTGTGGCTGGTTATTTCTGTCTTTTCCTCTGCTGAAGTTTTGTATTTTAGTATTATCAGTTTCAAGGTGATGATATTCTTCTATCCTTTCCTCTAAAGTCAAAGTTGTCCATTCAATATTTAGAATTTCAATCTCCTGTGACTTTTTTGTATAGTATGAGGTCTGTAATACATAATACTATATTATCTTACAAAATTTTTACATAAGTGAAATCACACTGTATTTAAAGTTCTGCAGCTTGTATTTTTCGTGTAATGCTACCTTTTCAGGGTCTATCCATATTGATAAATATAGGTCCGATTTATGTATTTATCTCTCCATTCCTCCAGTGAAAGACATTTGCACATTTTCAGTGTTTAGTGTCTAAACCTAAAAAATGGAACTTTTGGATCATAGGGTTTAGGCAGTGTGCCAGTTATTAAGCCCTCATGTCCCAGCTCCAAATTCATCCTTCTTTTGACTGTGCTTTGTGACTACAAACCACATTTCTACCTTGCCAGCTGCTCCCTGTTGGGCCTTCCCGATAAGAGACACCAGATAAAAACTTTGGGACTGGAGAAGGAAGAAGGGACTTCCTCCCTTTTTTCCTTCCTCTTAGTTTCCTGTTCATCAGGGCATTCACCCAGTATTGCTTCTTCACTTGGGTGGCAGTGGTTTCTTGTTGTAGCAGAAGTTTAATCATTTCCAGTTTTCCAGCATTCACAGAATCAGCCCTGTGGTTCCCCACCCCCTCTGGGACACTAGCATCAGTTGCCTAATGCCACCTCCTTAGAGATGTGAGTTCTAGTCACATGGGACCTCCTTCATCCTTCTAAATGTTAATAATTTCAACCTCTTTTCTGTTATCCTAGCCTGGATGTTGTCTGCAGTTGCTACCTCTCTGATAACTTGAATGTTCTCTTTTCATCTTTTCAGTTCTGTGGTTAACAACTTCATAACTAGTTAAAAATTATTTAAAATAAGCCTCCGTTTTAAAATAACTGATATGGTTTTTGTCTTCTCACTGGTCTCTGATTGATACAGAAGTTTTTAAAATTTATTTTATTTATTTAATTTTAATTTTTTTTTTTTTGAGTCAGAGTCTCACTCTGTTGCCCAGGCTGGAGTGCAGTGGCACGAACATGGCCACCGCAGCCTCGACCTGCTGGGTTCAGGTGATCCTTCCGCTTCAGTCTTCCAAGTAGCTGGAACTACAGGTGTGCGCCACCATGCCCAGCTGATTTTTAAAAAAATTTATGTAAGCTGGGCTCGGTGGCTCAGCCTGTAATCCTGCGCCTTTGGGAGGCTGAGGTGAGTGGATTGCCTGAGCCCGCGGGTTTGAGACCCGCCTGGGCAGTGAGACCTCATCTCTACAGTAAATCAAAAAATCAGCCGGGTGTGGGAGCGCATGCCTGTAATTCTGGCTACTTGGAAGGCTGAGGCGGAAGGATCGCCGGAGCCCAGCAGGTCGAGGCTGCGGTGGCCGGGAGCGGCCACTGCACTCCAGTCTGGGCGACAGAGTGAGACTCCAACTAAAAAAAAAAACAACAAAAAAAATTTATGTAGAGACAAAGTCTCGCCATGTTGCCCAGTCTGATCTCGAACCCCTGTTTAACTTTTTTAAGTATTGACTTTTTCCCCTCCAAATTGTATTAATTTATACTCTTACGAGCGGTTTGAGAAAGTTTCCATTTTTCTAGTCACCGGCTCTATTATCAGTCCTTTAAATTCTTGCCAATCTGAAAGGTGTGAAATGGGTTTTAAGCCTTTGCCTCCATGAATGTGGTTTGTCTTTTAACTTTTTAACTCATCTTTTTAAACCTTCAATGGTATTGTATGGTTTTCTCTGAGAAATTGTCTTTGGAAATTAATTTTTTGATAGCAATGTTGCTCTACATGTATATGCATATATATTTCAAAATACAGTGATATGTTATGGGGCTTCTGTGTATATTTATGTATAATATATCTGTCTCCCTCACACATACACATCTCCCCACAAAACATTTTTATGTAGATAATATTCATTTCATTTTACCCACATATTCACCTCCTTGGTTGCTCGGCATTCATTTCTGCATTCCATCCAGGATCATTTTCTACTTTGCCTGAAAAACACCCTGTAGAAGGTTCTTTAGTAGGAGTATGTGCATGGTGAATCTTTCAACTTTGAGAATTTTTTTTATTGTACCTTTTTGATAAGTAAAAGTGAATGCTTTGTCTTTAGTACTTTTTGATTTGTTTTCTCTGAATGTGTCATAATGGTCATAATGACCTAAGGTATTTGGATTAATCATCAGCTGTATTGTAGATACAGCATATACTTGAGTATACATATTACACTCACTATATTTTCTATACAGCACGCCCTCACATTTACTAAGTATTAATTAAGTATATCAAGCTACCATCTCATCAATTCCTTCAATCTTCAGCTCACCATTTTAAAAAATTAAATGTTACATTAAAAATTTTTATTCTGGAATATGTCAAACATAAATAAAGATAATCTGTAGTGACAGGAAACAGATCACTGGTTGCCTATGGGGTGGGAATTAACTCAAGGAGTAGGAGGGAACTTCCTGGGGTGATGGAACTATCCCATACTTTGATTGGAATGTGTTATTGGGTATATACAATAGCCATTAAGTGGATAAACGTAAGGTTTATGCATTTAATTACATCTGAATTAAAAAGTGAAAACAAGTAATAGAAAGTTTCCTGTTCCCACACCAGAAGTTATACCTGGGCTGCCTGGGAGGAAACTGGGAATCCCAACTGCTAGAGCAAATGAAAGACTCTGGCAGTGGGCGACTCAGTCCTCCTAAGGCTTTAGAAATGACCTTGTCCCTGAAAATGACCTTTCTGAAGCCCTACTCTGGAGTATGCTGACCCCTGTTAACTACCATCACCATCTTGGTGCTCCCTCACTCCAACACAACACTGTAGATTTGACTCCCAAGAGCCTAAGTACAGTATCTACTAATGCTCCAGTAGCCATCACCATAGTCACTTTTACACCTATGGCATGGCCCAGTGTCTACTAACCCTACCTTGGTTCACAGCAGTTCTTGTTACCCCTTTGGGCCAGAGCACGATGTCTGCTGACCTACTAGCATCATGTCTCCCCCACCCAGATTAATGTCTGATGATCCTCCTTGAAGTCAGTATCATGTCTTTCTCCCTCCTTGAGACTCATCATGGTGACAGCTGACTCACATTAGCTCACAGCCCTTTGTCTTATCTTCCTTTCAGCCTGTTGTAGTGTCTTTTGACCCCATGTTAACCCTCACCATTTTGCCTGCTGATTCCTAGTTGGCTACTGGTACAGTATCTTTATCCCAATGAGTTTTCATCATGGTGTCTGCATACCCTGTATTAGATCCCATCCTATGTCTGCTGATTTTTATTAATATTAGCCACTACTACAGTGTCTTTGTTCCCATTAACCCACAGCACAGTGGGTTAAACACAGCATAATTGCAGCAGTCTGCCTGTTCCCCCAATTAGCTACCAGTATGGTGACTTTGATCTTCCTGTGCTCCAGCACAGGGTCTGTAGAACTCACATGACCTTGTCACTCTGTCTTTTGATCCCTCATTTACCAGTTTTTTTTTTTTTTGAGTCACAGTCTCAATCTGCCACCCAGGCTGGAGTGCAGTGGCACGTTCACAGACACCTCAGCCTTGACCTGTTGGGCTCAAGCGATCCTTCCACCTCAGCCTTCCAAGCAGCTGGAACCACAGGCATGTGCCACCACACCTGGCTAATTTTTTTTTTGAGGTGGAGTCTCACTCTCTCACCCAGACTGGAGTGCAGTGGCCGCTGCCAGCCACCGCAGCCTCGCCTGTTGGGCTCCGGCGATCCTTCCACCTCAGCCTTCCGAGTAGCTGGAACTACAGGCACGTGCTACCACGCCCGACTAATTTTTAAATTTTTTATTGTAGAGATGAGGTCTCGCCAAGTTGCCCAGGCGGGTTTTGAACCCACGGGCTCCCAAAGCGTGCGATTACAGGCTGTCACCGAGCCTGGCTTAATTTTTTAATTTATTGTAGAGATTAG